TGGTTGAGATATATAAATATTATGTCAAAGTCTTTGAGAGCATGAGAGATAGAAGAGAGATTGAAATAATGGAGCCAGACACATTTCATGGTCGTAATGCTCACCTCAGCCTTGCTTGGTGGTCCACGGAGAGAGGGGGAAGGACAAGGGGAGAGGGAGCAGGGGAGCGAGAATGGGAGAGGAGAGGGGGAGCCAACGAGAGGTCAAGGGAGGAGCTGAGAGAGATCTTTATTGCTAACTCAGGCCTATATACCTTTGGGGGGAGTGCAAGCCCACCAATTACAGGTAAAGACATATGTCGCAGGAAGGGGTTGCACTATGGGTTATACAGCAATGAGAGGGGGACAATCTAGGGATATACACGCAATAGGAAGAGGAGGGATTGGGGCACACATGTGACCAGCAGGGCAGATCCTGGAGTCTGGATGGCAGCTAACTTTGGATGTAACTGAGCCGGTTGATCTGTTCTCTGGATCCCCATAGCAACCATTTGAATCAGTAGGGTGTGAACCCCACCTACAGGAGCCAAGCTAATGGTCGCAAGCCTCAGGGAGAAGTAGCCCATTGTCCTTAACAGCAGGGAGCAGGCCCACCTGTGGTGGAAGGAGACCGCACTCTGGCTGCTGATTGCTTCAAGGCAAGTAACTTTTACCATTAACAGCAAGCAGTGTCCTAAGTCTAACATATTTGGGAGAAATCTTTCTGTTTCCCACAAAGGGGTCCTGTGAGTTGGAACCAATACCAAGACCCTGCGGAAGTGAGCCCCTGCTACTGCCTCCTGTCGGTTCTAAAGGCCTTGTCTTGGGGCTTCCGCGGGTTCAAGGCATGGGGGTCAGGTGGCCCCTGTCTGGGGTTAGTGGAGCTTGGACAGTCCTGCTGGCCCTGAGAGGCCCAGGGCCTGTGAGAAGGGAAGAGCCCACGGCAGCAGAGGGCTCTCAACTCGAACCCAAGCCACAGCCATGGAGTTGAGGTCCACTCAGCCACGCTACAGGATAGGGGCAATCCCCAAGACCGCTTTTCATGAGAGCAGACACCGAGGGCGGGGACTTGAACTGCAGGTGTGGCTCAGCTCCCCGCCCTCACCACTGCCCATGGAAGTTTCCTTCCTCCTGCCCGGGAGCCCTGGTGGTGTCATGGCTTCGAGATGGGCTGCAATCCACGTGGTCAGCAGTTCAAAACCAGCAGCAGTGCTGTGGGAGAGACTGGGCTTTCTGCTCCCGTAAACAGTTCGTCTTGGAAGCCCACAGGGGCCGCTGAGTCACACTGACTGATGGAGCTGAGGAGACCCCCAGGGGGGGCTGTGGTCATACTGACTGGTGGAGGCGACAGACCCCCAGGGGGCGCTGTGGTCACGCTGCCTCAATGGCGGTGAGTTTGGGTTTGTTGGTTTGGCCCCGAGAAGGGGGTCCTGGAGGAGGCAGGCCCAGACGGCAGGCTCTGAATCCCCTCACAGGGTCCCTACCATGTGGGCTTCCTCTCAGGGGCCTGTGGGAAGGGCGGTCTGTGGGGAGACCAGGGCAGTGCTGGTGCGTGGCCTCCCCACTGGGCCATTTGCCCTCCGAGGGGTCTTCCCGGCCGTGTGCCGTGTCTGGAACCAGGGAGGGAGGCTGGATAGGTTACACATCAGCTCCGAGGTCGGCGGTTTGAAGCACCAGCCGGCAGAGGCAGGCAGGGCTGTTCCACTCCCCGGCCTTGGGGCGCACAGGGCCAGCTCCAGTAGCAGCTCAGAGCCCGGCGGGCGACCTCTCCCCCGACCTCCGGGGCTGCTCTGCGTCTGAATGGCCTGGATGGTAGAGGGAGGGACCCAGGGACCCTGCCCCCTTCTCCGCGCCGGCGGGCGAGCCCGGGAGAGAAGCGCCTCTTGTTTGCTGAAAGCCGGCTCTGTGCTGCACACCGACCCTGGTAATTTTAACCGGGAGGCTGGCCCCCAAGTGCCGCCGGCTCCCAGCGGGGCGGGGCGGCCGAGCCCCGCCC